TAAGACTTCGCGAATCGATAGGATCTACACCTCCCTCCACCCGGCCATGCTTCGGGACATTACGATTAACGTTTCCACGATTGGGTCGCTGAAGTCTGTTCAACCTAGTGATCACATACCTGTTCGAGCGGTTCTGGATCGTTTCATTCCCAACTCCAGTCAACCCATCATCCCCCCGTGGGTTGCTGGGCTGCCTGAATTTGGTCAGGCACTCGATGATCTACTTAGTCAGATTCCTTCGTCTTGGGATGCGCGGTCTCAGCTTAGTATTGCTAAGGAGGTCTTCTTTGAAGCTGGTGACATTGCACGACGAGCTTTGCGTACTCGCCCAGCTGTGACGCTTCAGGAGAAGCACTTCTGGGCTCTGTCTGCCTTGCGTGCCTCGTACTCGCATGATTGCCGACGCATTCGCTTGGCGCTCAGATGCTATCCTAGGCTTGCTGCCCACTTCGATGACGATGCGAACTGCACGCACGTTCGCGGCCTTTGCCAGCATGTTTTCTGTCTTTACAAGAAGATCCTCGATGCCGAGGAAGCTGAGATTTCAAAGTACGATGCTGAAGAGGCTCATAAAAAGGTCTATGGCTGCTCGCCTCCGTCGCCGCCAAGCCCTCTGGAGGAAGTTTCGTCGGCGTGCTGTTCTGGGTTCGGTTATGGATCCTTCTGGTTCCCCTTCCAGCTCTCTTCCTGCGGCCGCTCGTCTTCTTCGGGAACATGGGTCTGAGGTGTTCAGGGCCCCCTCCGTGGATCAGGAGCTCTGGGATGAGGTGAAGCCCTGCATTCAGACCCTTGATGGACCCATTAACTGTGCATGGAAGCTTGACTACTATGATTGGCGTCAGATGTTGATTAAGCGCAACAATTCGATGCCAGGCCCTGATGGGATACCCTACTCTGCCTGGAAACATCATGAGGCCTCCCGGCTACTGTACTCCTGTTATCTTCTCCTCTTCACAGATAGCGTCACTCAACTACCCGAAGACATGAGGTTGAGCTTGATGGTTTTTCTTCCGAAGGGCACGGGCCCGAAGGATAATGCTGCTGACGGCCTGGTTCGCTCCCCCTCGTGCACCCGTCCCCTCAGCATGAGCAGCACCGATGTGAAAATCCTCGCGAGCGCCTTTATCACGCCTGTGGTCTCTAACACCATGCACCTGATAGGGAGCGAGCAAAAATTGGTGAAAGGGAGGGCGATGATATCTAATGTTATCAGGGCGGAGGGATGGGGCCTTGCTCAGCACCTACGCGATGCTCCTCACCCATCTCTGTTCCTGACGGACTTCGCGTCCGCTTTCCCGTCCCTGGCGCAGTGCTGGCTTTTCTTTGTGTTCCAGTGCATGGGCATTAACTATTATGTTATACGCTTTTTCGAAATGATGTATGCTGATAACAAGGGGGTCATCTGCCTCAATGGTCGCCATTTTGATCTTATAGCTTTGGAGTCGGGGGTAAAACAAGGTTGTCCAGCGTCAATGTACCTATTCGTAATGGCCGTCGACCCCCTCCTGCGATGGCTACGTCACCGATGCTCGCGATTTATCGACTTGAACTTAGCATACGCAGATGACTTCTTGTTTGGCCTGGTGAACGTCCTCACCGATCTGAGCCCTGCGCTGCACGGCCTGGTGCTGCTTGCTAAGATTGCGAATTTACAGCTGAATTTCAAGAAGTGCCAGTTGATTTTATGTGGCACGACCGATCATCAGCGCCTTCGAGAGGTCTTAAAGAGCTTTGGCGCACCCTTCTGTGAAATTCAAGTCCTCTCCTGGGCTGTGTATCTTGGCTTCCCGATCGGTCCCGAGGCCCACTTGCACGTCTGGCAGTCTATCCTTCCTGGGTTCCTGGCTCGGGTGCACCAAACTCGGCTGTTGGGACTGGGCATTGCGAGGTCGGCCATGGCTTTCCAGGTGATGTGCGTTTCGAAGTTGCTGTTTCGTTTTCAACTTTATCCTCCGGATCTGCTTCTGGTTCACAAGTTTCGGGAAAGTGTAATGTTGGTGACTTCGGGGCCTCACAACGCCATCTCTTATAACATTGCCACCAAGCTGAAGGCGATTGGCTTTGGGATCGAGTTCGTTGAGATTAGCGCTGTCGCACAAGCCGCTGCCCTTCGCTTTATGCTCAAATGCCCCGACTTTCCTGGCGTCTTTGAGGAGCTTGAGAGGACCCGCGATGACCTTGAGCACATCCCTTATCGCTGGCGCCGTGGTTGGAACCCCTCCTATTTTCTTGGGCATATGCGGTTGCTCTGGGACAAGTTTTCTGGCCTTAAACCGACGCTCCTGAGGTGGAATCCAAAATCGATCCAGGGTAAGTTGTACAAGCGTATTCGGGCTCTCGAAGATTCTGAACCTGTTCGGGATACTCTTTTACGGCGTGCTCATTATTTTTGTAAGTCTGTCACTGCCCAGCAGATCGCTCGCATGTGTAGTATGGTTAAGAAAGTGTGCAAAGCGAGCTCCATGTATATTGGCATTGCACCGGTTCGAGTTCTGACTGGAGCCTTTTGTACCTCAGCGCGTTTCCACTCCGCTCCTGCTGGCTGCCGCTTTGGGTGTGATGGAAGGATGGAGGGTGAAGATCTTGATTCTCTGCGTCATTATTCCCATTGTCCGAGGTTGTGTTCGATTATGTATAAATGGCTTGGTGATCAACTCTGTGTCTCTGAAGGACCCGTGAGCCCCAACTGGTTCCACTCTTGCCTCCTCCTCCACTGTGATTCCGTGCCCGCCTGCTTGAAACGCGCTGCGTGCCTTGATGCGTTCCTGGCGGCTCATAATGCCAGGCGTGCGTCTGCCCGTGGCACGCCCCAGCAGGTCTTTGAGGCTAGATTGCGCGTCACTGCCCGCCGCCACAGACAAATTGCTGATGCGTGGTCCTCCGAAGGCCAGCCGAGGTCTCGACTGCTCTCTCGCGCCGCTGCCCCTCCTGTGAGTGCGAGTGCTGGTGAAGCGCTGCCTGTGCGTGCTCCAGGGGCGCCGCGAGGCAGATGGGTGCTTCCCACATCAGGCTGATAGTTGGTGCTGCCGCGCACTTTCACACTGCCCGAGGTCTCTCGCCCACCTTCTCGACAGGGAACCTAAATAACCCAGCGTGACCTTTTTCGTTTTTATAAAACATAGACTTATGCAAGCCACCCCTGCGCTTGCCCACGGAGAAGATGAACCCGAAGACAAAGCGCAAGGAAAAGGGGAACCCGGGGAGACACGTAAGCTTGCAGCAGATCGATACAGCCAATGTGAACCGAAGGTGACCAAATTTTGCAAAGCGCAGCATAACAGCTCCGAAGCGGGATCATCACCTACGCAAACAGCATCGTTGCAGCATCCGTTGCGAACTTCAGTTCTTCACGCCTACAAGGAAGCCCGCCAGTGAAGCAGGAACGCACCAGCAGTGCAACAGCATATACACTCCAGCTGAACAACGTACCCGTGTCAATAATCAGCCGCACACGGCCAGCGCGAATTAGCGACATGTCCACAGAGACACTGAACCGAGTGAATGACAGTTGCAGCCCACTCCACCAGAAAAAAGTTACACCCATACGCAAAGGGCGGGTGGGTACATGCACAACCAGGCTCCCACCATCCCCCGTTGCCGCCAGGCCGAGATCATGATGCGTCCGATGATGCAGCTCCGCAGTAGATGTGCTAGATGCTCCGTGGACGGCGCCGCCCACCTCTTTTGGAATTGTACATCTACCTCGAACCACGGGTCCGCCAATAATCGTGCCGCTGCCGGGACGACTGCTGCTTGGCGACCTCGTACGCACCCTTGGTGCGAATGTCCACATCGCGGCCGTGTTGAGGTTAGCATGCGGCTGGAGAACACATGGCGCAACTCCGTCATCTGTCCAACGCGGGCTCTTTCATTGTTACGCAGCAACTCCTCCAATGATCAGGTTGACCCTGTGGTCCTTCGCGAACTCGTGGAAGTCATCGCGCGCCCCCGTGAACCCCCCAGAAAACGCAAGCTGACGGGCTCATCCTCGGTAGCTACTTGTTTAGCTGGAGTGTCCTTCGGGCACGCGTAGGCAAGGACATTGAGAGCGCGCGCGTGGGCTAGCGACCCGTCCCACTCCGCCGTGAAAGGGGATCTTCTATCCATTGAGCGTCGTTGCAGTGCACACATTGGCCAGATTAAGCACACCGTCCTTGCCCACAACCTGAGGGTCGCCTTTACTCACCTTCGCAGCCATATCATATCCACCCTGAAGATTAAGAAACGGTTCGTCAGGTCCGTGATTGCAAGTTTTGCGGCAATACCCTGGCATTTGTCCCACAGATGCCACATGCACAGCTGTGCCGTACGCCGACTGATGGAGACCGCAGTCGTATGAAGAAGTTGCCCAAGTATAGCCTCAAGCGCCATACAGTCGTACACGAGCATCTTCTCGACATTGTCAAACATATGTCCCGTACACTTCTGCAGCAACGAGCCCAAGATTGAAATGATCACTACTCTCGGAGTCTGCATCAAAATCGCGTCCTCGTACAACTGGAACACATCTCTGGCTTGCGTCATCACTCTGAGGTGCCTCAGGCTAGGCCCTGCATGTCGCTCCAGCCTGGTAGTTTCGATCTCAGAGGCCTCCCATGCACGTAGAACATGGGAAGAAGGAGCTTCCGCTGCAGCGCTAACTCGCAAGCGGGCACCGAAGCCGTGCATACCGCCACCGGAAATATATCGACACCACTTCGCCTGTTCATGTCGCGGAGAAAAGCTGAATCCACCTCCAGTCCAGCCGCCTTCGCGTCCCCCCCAGCGCCACGTGAAGGCGAGAAGCATGACTGCGAGCAACCGATCACGAAAGGTAGCGGAAAGCTAGAACGACGTCTGCTTGAGAAGGAAGGGGAGGGAGGCGGGAGGGAGGGAGGGAGGAAAAGGATGAGGGAGTGGAGGATGGAGGAGGAAAGAGGGACGTTTCTCCCCCCCCCCCACCCCCGTTTCTCTGCCGCCCGTCGTCGAGCTTCCGATCTGGGGAGCGCCACCCTCCGGAGGCGGCCGAGCAGCAGGAGTTGTCGTTGAGGCAGCTGGAGCAGCTGGAGCGGCTGGGGCGCTCCCTGGCCGCGGCGCGGTCCGCGGTGGACGGGGCAGCAGGCTCGAGGGGGTCGGGGCACAAGAGAGAGAACCACAACCACAACTGATTTGATGGCTCGGGGGGGGGCCCTCGGGGATGAACCCGCCGGCCCCGACGTGAGCGCTTGGGTTGTGGTTGTGGTCGATTTGGCCGTCCTGGGGCGCCTCATCGACCACACACAGCCAGCACCAAGAAGCTGGCTGGGGTGTTCTGACGATTGATGGCATGCGCAGGACGCCCCCCAAGGTGTGTCTTCGAAGAGATGTGGTCGCGTGCTGTCCCCGCACGGGGGCGATCCATTCAGTTAGTCAGAGGAGGATGAGGTACCGATGCGACGCAAGGTGGTGCCGTCGTTTTCCATCCCACGGCGCTCTCTGCCAACTGTTCGAGGCAGGCTCCTTGCTTGTTTCGCATCCTTGTCGTGTTTTGCTTGTCTCACCCTGTGTCTGGCGCTGCGAGAAGCTCCATTCGCCGCGTCCCTTGCCTTCTGGGCCTCCCTGGGAGATCTCGTCGCCACGGCCGGATTTGCCGCGAAGTTCTGGTCAGAGCGCACCGCGGGAGAAGTCTGGGAAGGGGGTGGTGCTGGCCCTACATCGGAAATTCGAAACGCTTCGCGTATCCCCACCAGCCCGTCCAGAAATGAGCCCCAGGGGAGTGGAGGTGATGAGGGAAGCGGGGGAGCATGCAGAAGAACAAAGGGCAGGGTAAGCCGCCATATACCCCAAGAGGGGGAGAATGTAGGCGTCGTCGTCGTCGTCGGAGTAGGAGGAGGAAGAAGAGGAGCAGGAGGAGGAGCAGGAGGAGGAGGGGGAGGAGGAGGAGGAGGAAGATGAGGAGGAGATGGAGGAGGGCGAGGACGTGGAGGACGAGAAGGAGGAGAAGGAAAAGGAGGAGGAGGAGGAGGAGGAGGAGGAGGAGGAGGAGAGCGAGGGGGAGGAGGGAGGAGGAAGAACAAGAGGAGGAGGAGGAGGACAATGGCGAGCTTGGGGGCCTCTTGGGCCGTCTTAAGGGCCTCTTGGCGGTCCTGGGGGCCTCTTGCGTATCTCGGGGAGCCTCTTGGGGCCTCTTGGGGGTCTCTTGGGGCCTCTTGGGGGTCTTTTGGGGGCCTCCTGGGGGCCTCTTGGGGCCATATTGGGGCCATATTGGGACCTCTTGGGGCCTCCTGGGCGCTTCTTGGGGCCATCTCGAAGGAGATCGATCCAAGAAGGGGGGTCCTTAATTAGCGTCGCCCCCCCAGGAGGCTAAAATGGGGCCAAAACCTTCGTAACATCAATGATTTGGGCTTCCTCGCCGAGGCCATCTTGGACGCTCCGGTCCAGGGGAGGGGGTAGGGGGAGGGGTAAACCCCTCCCCGAAGGGGAAGAAGGAGGGGTGGAAGAGGAAACTTCCTAAACCACCTACGCCCAGAGGGCTGGTGGGACTGGAGCATTTACATTACCAGTGGCGGCCGGTTTTTCAATCCCAGGACCTTTTTGAGGGTCGGGGACGACGTCGGGGTGGTGTGGTGTATACTTTTTCCCCGTCTTCCTGGGGAAACAGTAAAACATGTATACACCAGGATGCCGTATACACCAGAATCCGCTTTCTTGTGCGAATCTCAGTGCGGGACTGGAAACAAAGCGTCGGTGTATAAGTTCGGTTCCTCCCTACACGGTTCCAGACCCCTTGGCGACGAGAAACACCCAGGTGGAATCTTTTGGGGGCTTTCGGCCCCCGCATGGGCCCTTGCCGGGCCCCGGGGCCCTCGAAAAAGTGTTCGGGCTTGAAAGCGCCTGTTCCCGGGGGTCAGGGTCTATAGGCCTTTGGGGGCGCACGCTGCAGCAAGCATCACGGCGTCGAGGCTCCGGGTTGCTCGCTCCTGGCCGGTCTTTTCCTCCCCCTTGGGGCCCCGGATCTGCCCCGTCCAGTCACCTCGAAGCCTCGTCCGTCCCCTCGCCTTCCCTGTCACCCCCTTTGTCCTGGCCTCGATCCTGGCTTACACCCGCGTGAGCACAGAGCGCCAGGGCTGGCAAGAGCCTGAGGGCACCCCGTGTGGGGCGGGGGCCTGGGTTTCGTTTGTCTTCGTGCTCCGAGTTTGTTGCTCATTTTTGCTGCGTTCCCTTACCCGTGCCTTCTCGTTCTAGGACCCCTGCCGGGATCAGGATGAGATGGAACCCGCAGCACAAGTTTCGTTAGGGTATAATTGTTGGGCGAACTCGAGGTCAGTACTACCGTGTTCCCTAGTGTACGGCCGCCGTTTATAGGCCTGTGGCCGCCGCCTCAACGTTCTGAGTCTCGGCCAGAGCACCATGCGGACGGAGAACACAAGCACACGATGTCGAATATTCTCTGGCTTTCAGCGAGTTCCGCAACCGGTCAAGGCGCACAGCCTTCTTTCGAGAATCGCCCATGATGGTTGGGCATGTGACTGCTCTCGCCCCCCGGTTCCAGAGGGCCGTAGCATGCGGCATGCTCTTCTGCAGGCTCGCAACGACCTTGACGTGCAGTGTTGAGCGTCCTCCTCACGACACGGAGGGCCTCTACCGCGTGACGCTCCCCGTCCCCGGATCTCGAAGAGTCGGAGGATAGAAGGGGCCCGCCTTCCCGGAGACACAGGTGACAGCTGACCCCTGATAGCTCAGAGGGCCCGACCATGTGGCATCGACGGGGCTGGACCTGCCTGCAGCCAGCCTTCTGGAGGAGTCCTTGGGAGCCTTTTTGGCCCTCGTATGGGCTTGATGGCGGCGTCTTCGGGCTATCTTGGCATATCTTGCAGCCTTCTGGGGAGGCCTCGGGGGAGGTCGGGAGGGTCTCGGAGCCGGTTAGCGAATGGTCTTGAAGCCGCTTGTTAGTGGTCATGGGCCGTCTTGGGGCGGTCTTGTGCAATATTTGGGGATCTTCGCGCTGTCTTCGGGTCATCTTGGGGCCGCTCTGACAATTTTCTCGGCGCCTCGGAGCCTACTGCGGCCTCTTGTGACGGGTGAGAGGTTGAACACCGACCACCTCGTTTCTTCCCAACGTGTGGTGCTGGGTCCTCGTTTTGAAGAGACGGTCCCTGCGTTCCCTGCTTCCTTCCTTCCTCCTTCCCTCCTCCCTGCACCGCCGCATGCGCCACGCACACCCATTTCGGCACACCCCTTACACGTTTCGGGGTCCCATAGGGAGCTCCACCGAAGGCCCCAGTGCCACCGCCTGCATGCGTCACGCACACCCATTTCGGCACACCCCTCACACGTTTCGTGGCCCTACCGGGAGCTCCACCGAAGGCCGCAGTGCTACCTCCCGCATGCGTCACGCACACCCATTTCGGCACATCCCTCACACGTTTCGTGGCCCCACAGGGAGCTCCACCGAAGGCCGCAGTGCTACCGCCCGCATGCGTCACGCACACCCATTTCGGCGCACACCCCCTGACACGCTTCGTGGCCCCACAGGGAGCTCCACCGAAGGTCCCAGTGCCACCGCCCGCATGCGTCACGCACAACCATTTCGGCACACACCCTCACACGTTTCGTGGTCCTACAGGGAGCTACACCTAAGGTCTGAGTACCACCGCCCTCATGCGTCACGCACACCCATTTCGGCACACCCCTTACACATTTCGGGGTCCCATAGGGAGCTCCACCGAAGGCCCCAGTGCCACCGCCTGCATGCGTCACGCAAACCCATTTCGGCACACCCCTCACACGTTACGTGGCCCCCTAGGGTTCTCCACTGAAGGCCCCAGTGCCACCGCTCGCATGCGTCACGCACACCCATTTCGGCACACTCCTCACACGTTTCGTGGCCCCACAGGGAGCTCCACCGAAGGACCGAGTGCCACCGCCCGCATGATGCGTCACGCACACCCATTTCGGCGCACACCTCTCATACGCTTCGTGGCCCGGTAGAGAGCTCCACCGAAGGCCCCAAATGGAGCTCCACCGAAGGCGCCAGTGGCTGCGTTCGCATACGCCCACCGCACCCATTTCGGCGTACCCCTCACACGTTTCGCGGTACCATGCCCCAATGGTTGCGTGCGCATGCGCCCACCGCTCCTATTTCGGCACACCCCTCTCGCGTTTCGTGGCCCCATAGGGAGCTCCACCGACGGCCCCAGTGGCTGCTTTCGCATGCGCCCACCGGACAAATTTTGGCACGCCCATCACACGTTCCGTGGCCATATAAGAGCTCCTCCGAATGCGGTGCATCTAACGAGGGTATTCACAATTGAATATGGTTGGGTCCTTCGCCAGGCTAACTATATTTTGCTTTTTCGGGGACCTCGTGACAGCACTCCGGAGTGCCTCTTGGAGAACTCTTGGAGGGATCCTCGATCTTGAGGCAAGGTTTGGCGGCCACTGGCCCTCTTAAGCCTTCTTGGAATTCACCTCGGGCATCTTGGAGGCGCTGACGACCTCTAGAGAAGCGTCCGGACGCCGGGGAGGGGACGCGATGGGGAGAGGCGAGGGAGCCTCGGGGGGGAGGTGCTCGCAAGACAGGCTTGACATCACTCCGCTGCGTGCCTGGGGACTTGGTGGCGGCTTCTCGAGCCGGTCATCGCCATGGGTTTGATGGTGGCTGCTGTTGTGATAGGCTGTCTGGGGAAACAGCCGTTCGACCTGTTTTCCATGGACGTGCACTCTCCCTGGGAGGGCGCGATCGCGTTCACGATTGCCAGCCTGGTCAGCATGCTGTTGGTGCAGCACTTCCTCGCGGGTCAGTTCACGAACAACCCGTTTATGCTCTACCTTGCCCAGTTGATGGTGTGCTTCCTCGGCACCACCACGACCGTGCCGATTCTCCTGGGGTCGCAGGGCAGCCCGCCCGTGGCAGCAACGCTGCTGTCGCTGGCCTTTTTGGTGTTCTTCGTGCTTCAGTGGCTCACCAGCTGATGGGCTTGTTTTCCACCACCACCACCATAAGTTGGAGGGGGAGGGGGTCCTCCTCCTCCTCCTCCTTCTCCTCCTCATCCTCTTCGTCCTCCTCCGCCTTCCCCCCCTCCAGCTTATGGTGGTAGTGGTGGTGGAGAACAGGCCCATCACCAGCGACGCATCCGTCCTGAGGTACCTCCCCGCCACGGGGCTGGAGGAGGACACGTTCATGAGCGCGCTAGGGGTGGTCGATGGGGCCTCCTCCTCCTCCTCCTCCTCCTCCTCCTCCTCCTCCTCCCCATCCTCCTCCTCCTCCCCATTCCTCCTCCTCCTCCTCCTCCTCCTCCTCCTCCTCCCCCTCCTCCCTCCTCCCCCTCCTCCTCCTCCACTTCCACTTCCTCCTCCTCCTCCTCCTCGTCCTCCTCCTCCTCCTCTCCTCTCCTTCTCCTCCTCCTCCTCCTCCTCCTCCTCCTCCTCCTCCTCCTCCTCCTCCTCCTCCTCCTCCTCCCCCTCCTCCCCCCTCCTTTTCTTTCTCTATTCAGCCGGCGCCGCGTCTGCACCCGTGCTCCTGCCCACGCGGCGGACGGCGTCTGGCCTGCGAGCGAGTGAGAGCCCAGATCTGGGGATCGCAGGTGGAGCCGTCCAGGGTGCCCGGAAGTCTCGACCCCCGCGGGTGCGCCGCCGCCGCTCCAGGCAGAGGGGACCGCGCCCCAGGCCCTGCCAGGGGCGCCGTCGTGTGGCGGGGGGGCACGGAGGATCTCCCCCGGCCCCCGATGCTGCCAGTGATTCGCGAGATTCCAAGCGTGGACTCAGACGCGCGGAGCGGCGACGGGTCTCGCTTCCGCGCAGGGTCGGCGCGCACCGCTGCCAAATGGGGCGGCACGGGCCGCACGGTTCTGGATGGACCTTTCCCGATCTGTGTATATGCCGCCCGCGCGCCAGATTCACGTGTTCTGGGTTTCTTCATAAGCGTGGGGGGTATCCCCCCTCGTCGTCGCGCCGCGGCGGGGGTCGGAGCGCCTTCGGCGTGCGGTGGCTGCCCGCGACGGGCTTCGACGTGGCGCCGTCGGCGGGGGTGACGCCTCCCCGACGCTTATTAAGAAACTCGGAGTGTCCGTCATCAATGTTAGCGTTCGCCCGGATGATGCTCCCCGCGGCGACGTTGGGGGTTGTGGGAGCCGAAACACAAAACAGAAAACATTGGGGTGAGCGTCGGGCGGGCGGCAGCGGGGGGAGCAGTAAACGTGGGGGGATCGAGGATCGCAGGAAAGCAGCCCTCTGCAGGAAGCGTACCCAAAAATAGTCTACACACAGTCTGGGGACGACGTTTCGATGAGTTCTGACTATGCTCAAGTCTTGCTTGACTCTTTCTCATTTTTCTTCCAAAATCCGCCGGTACGAGGACATGCCCGACCTAACCCTAAACGGCCCCTAGGCTGCCACCGCGGGCACAGAAGGCGCACGGAAAAAAAGTGGCAGCGCGTCGGCGAGCGCGCCGCGGACGTCCGAAGCGCCGCCAGCGGGCCAGAGATCGGCCAGCGTGGCGGTCTGGCGCTCGGGAAGCCGCCGATCGTTCAGGGCTGCACGATGCGCGGTGTTTGAAGCCAGCGCCAGGGCCGTCACGCCACGAGCCTGCCGTATGGCCCCCCCCTTCCACTGGTGACCACACGGGGGGGGAGCGGGAGAGCCGGCCGCGCCGTGCCCGGTGGCGCCGCAGGGGCTTTGGGGGCTCCCGCGCAGGTCATCCTCTGCCTGTTCCTGGCGCTGCTGGTGCTGGCCACCTCGAGGTCGGACTGGGCGAAGGATAAGCGACATCACCACCCCCACCACCACCACCACCACCACCAGTGGTGCCACCTCCAGCCTGTATGTCCACGATGCCTCCCGAACTGGGGATGAGGGGTCTCGAGCGAGAGGGGGGGCCCACAGCACCAGGGGGACCCGCCCTGGCTCCTCCCGCTGGTGGTCCCTGCTGGTGGTGGCGGTGCCGCTCCTCCCAGTTCCTAGTCGGAGGGTGCCAACTACAGTCAAGACACTGACATGAGGATCACTTCGGGCGCAGGGGAGGGGCCCTGGTTCTCAGGCCGCTCCTCAGATTCCTAGGTCGGGGGCCTGCTCGAGGCCGAGCCAGGAGAGCGCCTTCGTTCCTTTGCTCCGCCCTCCGTCTGGCAGCACGATGGCCGCATGCACCTGCACCGACCGATCCTGGCCAGGCCAGCCGGGGGCCCAGGATCGGCGTGTGTGTATATATATGTATATATATGTGTATGTATGTATGTATGTATGTATGCATGCATGCATGCATGCATGTATGTATGTATGGATGTATGCATGTATGTATGTATGTATGTATGTATGTATGTATGTATGTATGCATGCATGCATGTATGTATGTATGTATGTATGTATGTATGTATGTATGTATGTATGTATGTATGTATGTGAGTGTATGTATGTATGTATGTATGTATGTATGTATGTATGTATGTATGTATGTATGTATGTATGTATGTATGTATGTATGTATGTGTATGTATGTATGTATGTATGTATCATGCATGCATGCATGGGATGTATGTATATGTATGTATGTATTATGTATTGTATGTATGTATGTATGCATGCATGCATGCATGCATGCATGCAGCATGCATGCATGTATGTATGTATGTATGTATGTATGTATGTCGAGGGTTTGGGCCCCCCCCCCCAATGCTAATGCCATCGCCCCCCCACCCCCCCCCCGCGCGATGGCCCCCCCCCCCTGTGGGCGTGGGCGTGGCGTGGTGGCTCCCCCCCCCCCTGTGGATGTGGTGTGGGTGTGTGTGTTGCTGTGGGTGTGTGTGTGCGGGGTGACGCCATGGTCCTCCTCCCCCCCTCCCTCCCCCCCTGTGGGTGCGGTGTGGGTGCGGCGTGTGGCTGGCATTGGCGTCATGTTGACAGCTCTGGTGCTCGACGTCGTCGCCGACGCTGGTGGTGCCGTCGTCGTCGTCGTTGTCGGTGTCGTCGTCGTCGTTGTCATCGTCGTCGTTGTCGGTGTCGTCGTTGTCGGTGTCGTCGTCGTCGTCGTCGTCGTCGTCGTCGTCGTCGTCGTCGTCGTCGTCGTCGTCGTCGTAGTCATCGTCGTCGTCGTCGTCGTCGTCGTCGTCGTCGTCGTCGTCGTCGTCGTAGTCATCGCCGTCGTCGTCGTCGTCCTCCACCTCCTCCTCCTCTTCCTCCTCCTACTCCTCCTCCTCCCCCTCCTCCCCCTCCCCCTCCTCCTCCTCGTCCTCCTCCTCCTCCTGCTCCTCCTCCTACTCCTCCCCCCCCATCCCATCTCGGGGGTGGGGCCCGAGGACCCTGGGACCCATCCCATCTGGGGGGGGGGGCCCGTGGGCCCGGAGCCCGCGATCACATATGGATGCCTTCCTGCCCAAGCCGGGAGGGCGTGTATGGCAGGTTCGCGTCGCGTCGACCGGTGGCGACACCGCCGCCGGCGTTCAGCGTTGAACGCCGCCGGCGACCCAGAACCGGCCGATGTTCAACGATTGAGGTTTCCGAAACGGCCGATCTTTCAAAGTCGATCGTTCAAGGCTGAACGATCCCCGCGGTGTCAGGAACCAAGGCCAAGAGGGTCGACACAACACGAATCTGCCGTACACCGATCCTGGGCCCAGTTTGAGCTGTCGGGCGGGCCGAGGACAAGGATCAATCCGTTCCTAGGCGCTCCAGAACGCGCTATCAGAGCGTTCCCCAGAAGAGGGACGCTTCCGTCGTTTTCCACTTTTTGGGCCTCCTGGGAGGCCCTCGTCGCCACCGCTGGAGTCGCCTCGAAGTTCTGGTCAGAACGCACCCTGGGAGAGGTCCGGAGAGAGTAGCAGTATTGGTACCTTCTCGCCCCCCGAGTTCCTGAACGCTCTCAGGAAGGCCGCGGTGCCCGACCCATCCTCCAGAGCCGGCAGGTCTCAGAGGTTCTGATTTTATCTTCGTCCGATTCGATCCTTGTGCTGGCCTCGTCTCAGAGCCTGGCCAGAGGAGGAGGAGGAGGAGGAGGAAGCGGAGGCAGAGGGGGAGGAGGAGGAGGAGGAGGAGGAGGAGGAGGAGGAGAAGGAGAGGAAGCGTGATGAGGAGGACGCGGATGAGGATGAGGATGAGGATGAGGATTATGATGATGTTGATGATGCTGATGATGATGCTGATGATGATGATGATGATGATGATGATGCTGATATGCTGATGATGATGCTGATGATGCTGATGATGATGCTGATGATGATGATGGAGGAGGAGGAGGGACGAGGAGGATGAGGCGGAGGAGGAGGAGGAGGAGGAGGCGGAGGAGGCGGAGGAGGAGGCGGAGGAGGAGGGGGAGGGAGAGGAGGAGGAGGGACGAGGAGGAGGAGGCGGAGGAGGAGGAGGAGGAGGAGGAGGAGGAGGAGGGACGGTGTGGGTGTAATTACCGCTGGCGCCCTCCCCCGAGGGCCGCGCACGCGTGCGGCGCGCGCGGCGCCGCCTTCGAGCCCGCGGGGCTGCGCTTCCGGCGGGAGTGCCTGGAGTATGCGCGGCGCCGCCGCCGCAGGCAGCCCCATCGGCGCCCCCATCGGAGGAGGAACGAGCGGCATGACACAAATGTTTGGTGCTCCTTGCGGAGCGCGAACATAGACGACGACTGGGGCACCTTCTGGGTGCCGCTGGGGCATCCTGGGGATCTCCTGGGGGTCT